TTTTATCAATCTCTTTAAAACCCTGTCACATTCACAAAGAACACCAGGGGACCACAGAACATGCTCTGTGGTTTTGCTTTCATCGTCTCGCTAGATAAACAGGAAGGTGAATTTTTCCCTTGCTGTGACACAGTCTCTTATTTCCTGTTTCTTCTGTAGTATTTTTTCTCTGTAAATGAGTTTGAATGTTGTGTGTCGTGGGCAGCAGGGGAGAAAAAAGGGCTGTCACTTCTTGTAAAGCCCTGATAGCAGTGGGCTGTATTTGGCTAAGTGACGCAAGTACATGGGGTTTACCCAGAGCCTCTCTGACAGTAAGGACCTGAAGGTTTTGGTCATGGTGAGATGACCTTTATAGTACCAGAGTGGAAGATTTCTGCTCCACGATCCCCACACAAAAATGGTAAAGAAAAAAAACACACACACTAAAAAAGGGAAAAGAATGGTTTCTGGTTGTGACGTACAATTAACTCTTTTTAAGCTGTTTTGGAAAGTCAAGCTCTCAAACTCTTTGAATGGCAACTTCTCATACTGTGGTGCTGCTGCAAGGCTTTGCAGGTGGTTTCTCTTGTTTTTCCAGACTTCTGCAACACAGTTGATACTCTATTTTACAGAATTGTAAAGAAGACTCCAAAGTTACCTAATTTCTTTCCTTAATTTCAGTGTAGAAGCAGTTTTTATGGACTTGTTTGGCAAAAAAAACCCTGTTTTGTCATTGTTTGAACAAAATGAATAATACTCTCATAACTAACAAAATATGTACATTTTGTAAATGTTTTGCTACAAAATGTAACAAAATATTACATTTTTCTATTACAAAAACTGTGGTCACAGTATAAATTAATAGAATAAAATAAAATGAAATAAAAATAGAAACTCTTGAAACTTGACCTAATAAAAAAACTTAAGTTTGTTTTATCTTATATCACAGTTTGCTTATAAATGATGCAGATCATTTTAGGAAAATATTAATGCTTGAAAAGTACAAAACTTTGACAACAACAACAACATATTTAAACAACATCTAGAGCCTGCAAATTGTTATATATGGGTTTCATTTTATTAGGTGACTTGCATTATATTGTCATTTTGTTATATAGCTCAGATGTTTACCTGTCTACATCCTGATATATGATATATGCTTCATTTCATTCACAATAATTGTGTTACAATGTGTTTTATAGTCAAAAAATGAAGATTCTCGTTCATATTTAAGCAAAAGTATATTTGATGTCTAAAGCTAGTTGAACATGTCAGCTATTATTTGCATGATAGTCCCATACAAGGAACTGATGAGTTGTTCTCGGCTGAAATATTTCATGCATACTGGTGGTTTTTAGCAGAATGCTAAAACATTATCCTGTTAACAGAATAATAAGTTAAACTCATGCTGAGCAAGATTACTTTGGTATGTAACAGTTAAAGGCCTTTGGTTTATTCAGAAAAACAAAAGTGTGATGAAGGCATTCTGCAGGGGACTCCTCCGAGTGTCGAGGGAGATTCAGTGAGTAACAGGAAGAAAATATCTTAAATTATTTAAATAATAACTTAACTAGCTGTTCAAGATTACTCTTTTGTGTATATATTTTGGAAATTTGGGTTGGATGTACAGATTCTGCAACCAAAATGTATCAAGCAGTGATAATTAGTTTTCTGGGAAGAGTTGTGTTGTTCGTATAACTTTACATTTTGTGGTTATGATGGTCCAGGAATTTTGTGAGGGAAGTTAGAAATTTTCAAGCTTTATCAAAAGAGTACTTTACCATTCCTGAAAAACCCTACTCTGAAATGAAAGATGTTCAAGAAAGGAGAAATGAAATTGTGACCCAAGTTTTAAGAAGTACTTCATTATCAGGTGTTATTTTTTTCTAAAGGTCATACAAAGAACTTCCTCACAGTTGTATTTTAGCTAAAAATAAGCAATATGTTGGGATACAATAAATTGCTTCAAAGACACTGTTCTAGATTTCAATAGTATTTTAAAGGTATTACGGTTTCTTCTTTTTTATGCATGTTCCTCTTAACCCTCTCAGGCTCAAATTACTTGAAAAGTCTGTCTAAGTTGTTGCAAATCTGCAACACCTGCCTGGAGAGGGTTAAAAAAAATCCTCACTCTTTACATTTTTAGAAAACTGTTAAAACTGTGGCAATCAGAGGAAGAAAACACATTGATAAAACATATATATTTAGTAACGCTTGTGTTTTTTGTCAGTTCTGATGTAAAAAGTCCGAGTGAAGTTGAAAAGAAAGTGTAATCAAGACAGCAAATGTAACCATAGCCAAATCCATTCAAAAGTGCCAGCAGCAGTGTAAGGGTCACTCCGAGCCATGCTCCATCCAGCAGACACAACTCCATTCACTGCGACACGTTTTATAGCATCTTAAAAAGACTTTGAAATGGAATATTGGAGCAGTGAGGTTTTGAAACCATAACTTTTTAAAACTTTGATGTGGTAACAAGCCAATGCTTGTTGTGCCCTCATTAATAGAGTCATAGGACATTTCATTCTTGGTTTGGCCAAGACGTTTGAAAAGACATTTAAGCACAACATCGTGTAATGTAACCTAAAAAAGACTGGTTTGGTTGTTCATTTATCTAGCTTGGCATAGCAGCATAGAACCACTTTCTGTTATTTTGAGCTCAGTTCTAACATCCTGTCCCTGTGTGTTTCCAGGAAAGCGAAAACCTGGAGAAGGAGAATGCCGCCCTTAGGAAGGAGGTGAAGCAGCTCACAGAGGAGGCCAATTACCTGTCGTCTGTGCTGAGCAGCCACGAGCCCCTGTGCACCGGGCTGGCCCCGCAGACCCCAGACCTCCTCTACCCTCCCCATCAGAGCAGCTACCACCGCCAGCACATCGCCGTACCACACTACCAGCGCTGACCTGCCCGAGGGCCTGCGGCTAAAACAGATGACTGACCTCAACAGACACAGACTGACAGGAGACGTGTGTCTTTTTTATTGTTAAAACATAGTTAAGGCAAGACAGGCTAACTTGTCCATCAAACAACGAGCCCAAACTGTAACCGGTAGAATTCAAGACCTATTTATTTTGCTTCTTCGTGTCTCTTTGATTTCTGATTGTGAATCTGTTTGTGAATTTAAATGGCTTGGTAAGTAGATTATCAACTAGATCATGTTTACAAAGAGAGAGGAAAAAAATATTGTGCTCACATTTATAAATGCTTATTTTTAGTATTTCAGAGAGCACCTTTTGTCATCTCATGTCTTGTGTTCTTCGTGTTTGTAATATGTTTTTTGTGGGGTGTGCGTGTGTGTGTGCGTGTGTGTGTATAAATGCTCAGGAGCCTTGACAGTGTTGATTGTGGACAAAAAGAATGTAAATGTAAAAAAGAAGGCTGGCAATGAAGGAATGCTTAGTGAGAAGACCCAGTGGATGTATTTATTAAATGTTATGCTTTTTCTTTTTCTGAAACATCATCTGTAAACCTTCTGGGTTCATGTTATTCTTTTGTTTGCTAGGACAGCTGGGTGTGTAAAGTCTGTACAGGTGCTGATAACAAGGACACGTGACAGACCTTTTATTTCTCTGCTAAGACGCCTCTAGGTGGCACTGTTTAACAGTGTGTGAAATTGAATTACAGTAGCTTATATTTATAAAGCATAAAAAAAAGTAATTTGTGGATTGCTCTGTGTGTGTGAATAAGGGTTCATTATGGCCCCTGAGCTCCACTGTCACCCTTTGCTTGTGCTCCACTCCTGGTGGCCTAAAATCCATCTGCAGTGTATTAAAGCAGGAAGTAAATGTAAAAATAAACTGGCTTTAATTGGTTTCACTTTTATTACTGACTCTTTTGTAATAAAGCAGACAGGATATCGCGCTCGCTCACGGTGATGCCAAACGCGTATCTCATGACGTGTTATGGAGTTTGAACTGAACTGTTCAAACGGCCTGGATGGAGTTCCTTTTTGTTAAACTCCGCCCTGCTGGTCGTCTTTACCCGACTTCTTTTGAGGTCTCAAAGCGGCGAGTTTGAGTCCGGGTGGAGAGTCAGAGAACGCGTCCAAACACGTGTTACATCGACCTCTAAATCTATATCTATTCATGAAATATTCCGCTGATCTTTTGTGTTTTATTTATAGTTTGAGGGGGAACAGTGTGACAACTAAACTTGCTTTGTAAGAGGAAACGCGCTGTAAACTTTGAACGACACTGTATTCATATGTTATACATTTGTAACAAATAGAAACGTTTTGACTTGAACTCGTTGTGGGTTTATTTTTTATTTATTTTTTTGCTGAAAATATTCATTTGCAACGCATTTTGATCGTTTTATGCAGCTTTAGTCGTTGTTCTTACATTGACGAGACACTACTGGGAAGCACTGCACGATCCTCCATGCGCCCTGTGACTGATTCCACTGAGAACTGTTGAACATGAGCGAGAAACACGCGCTGGAACACACTGAACTATATCCGGAGGACTTGGCGAACCATGCGAGGCTCGAGGCGGGAGACGCGTCCAAGCTCCCCGGCGACCAGAGCCCAGAGGACGGCCACGGGGAGCCGCAGCCGACCCGCCTGTACAAACGCCGCTGGATCATCGTGGTTCTGTTCAGCTCCTATTCGCTGTGCAACTCGTACCAATGGATCCAGTACGGAATCATCGGAAACATCTTCATGAAGTTCTACAGCGTGGAAGCGTTCACCATAGACTGGATGTCCATGATCTACATGCTGACGTACATCCCGCTGATCTTCCCGGTGACCTGGCTGCTGGACAGAAAGGGGCTCCGGGTGATCGCGCTGGTGGGCACCGCGCTCAACTGCGTCGGGACGTGGATCAAGGTGGCCAGCGTCCGGCCCGACCTGTTCGCCGTCACCTTCCTGGGGCAGTTCTGCTGCTCCCTGGCGCAGGTCTTCATCCTGGGGATGCCGTCGAAAATCGCCTCGGTGTGGTTCGGTTCGGAGGAGGTGTCCACCGCCTGCTCCATCGGAGTCTTCGGGAATCAGGTGATGCAAGTCCATGCTGAATAACTTGGTCAAATTCATGATTCACCCTTTTTCTGATTTGGTCGATTGCTTCAAAGATATTCTGTCAGGTCCTTGCTTCACTTTTATGGAGCACCGGGACTGCCATAATCAAAAATAAAGCATATAAGTAACTCAATAAAACAATCACTATGATATATGAAGAAATTAAAAGAAAGAAAGAAAGAAAGAAAGAAAGAAAAAGAAAGAAAGAAAGAAAGAAAGAAAAAAAGAAAGAAAGAAAGAAAAAAAGGAAGGAAGAAAGAAAGACATGATCAGGAAAGAAAATAAATAAATGAAAAAAAAAGAAAGAACTAACAAAGAAACAAGATCTAATGTCATAGTGACTTTTTTGTGTTTTACTATTTTGGTCCATGTTTGTAGGATAATAATCTCTGAGCCTTTTTTGTAGTTATTTATTTATTCTTGATTTTGGCTGTTGTGGTCTTCCATATAGGTTAACATTTTTTAAACCTTTAAAATTATCATCAATTAGTATTTCTCTTTTCTCAAAGTCATACCCATTGATTTTTTATTTATGTGTGCATAAATAAAAAAAAAAAATCCCATTGCACAACTTAAGTATATCCTCATTGATTGGTTTATTTTTTTTTGCTCATCAAAACACATCAGAATATTACAAGCTTTGTCCAAAAACTGGGGTGAGACTCATCCCACGGGTATGATGCAATACAGCTGGCAAACTGGAAAATGTGCATCTACACAATTTTCAAAAGTATTTTTTACATTACTCTTTCACTTTTTGCACAAATTGTACCTACATTCTATAAATTTATTTTGTACTATTTCAATTGTTCTAGTCTTTTCCACAAGGTCTGAGAAGATCTGCTGCAGATATATATTTTTAAACACGCTCAACACTAGAAATAATAGTAACAGTTGTCTGTGGAAATATCTCTTGAGTCAGAATTTTGACATTAAGAGTCCATCATGTAGTGCTGGTGATGTTTCGACTGAGAGCTCAAATTCAAATAGAGATTCAATAAATAGGAACAAAACATTTTAGCCGTCATTTTAGCGTGAAAAATGTTTTAAAAAGACACATGCACAAACACAATGACCAGTACCAGGGTGAATGACTTCATTTTCAGGATCTTAGAAAGTATGATGTAAGTTTTTCCTTGAAACATCACATAGGCTGTTGCTTACAGACTGTATTGAGAAATAGCAAAGATTTGTAAATATTAACATTTTAAGCAAGTTTCTGTCGTCTACAAGCATTAGTTTCCACAAGAGTTGTTTTGACTTTTATGTGTCAGAGTTATTTTCACTTTTATTAATGGAAGTCTGAGTTGGAAATGGTTTCTGAAGAATTAGACTTTCTTGTTCAAAAGCATCACCTGACATGGTGGATGGCAATGCGGACATTGTAGTGCGATCACATGGAGCGTAACGATAAAGAACCAAGAGACACACCACTATTCATTCCAGCTGCGCACTCGTCTTTCTGCAGTGTCCAGACTGGAAAGCAAGCGGTCGGGAAGCACAATCTGCAATCCTACGACAGCTCACTAGGCTGATCCAGGCAGGGGCCCGCTTCAGAACGGCTGAGATGCCTCAAAACAATACCTTGAAAGGAAACCGTGGAAATTCTGAACTCACCGTTGAAGAATGGCTGCAGTCCAAGGCTACAAAGGGTCCCTCTCCGGGCCTTGCTTCTCTGCAGTGGAGCCTGGGGCCCCAAGGCAGAACACTCTCCCCTGGCTCCAGAGTGGAAGTTGGGACTTCAGGTGATCAAGCTCAGCTTTTCCAAATAGCCAAAACGAAGCTTTACCATCGTCGCTGGGTCATGCTTTTTCTCTTCAGTGCAGTCTCAGCTAACAATGCCCTCATGTGGCTCCAGTATGGAATCATTAGTAACATTTTCATGCGCTTCTACAACGTCGATGTCCTGGCCATTGACTGGTTATCTATGATTTACCTGCTCACATATGTGCCCCTTGTTCTGCCCGTCCTCTGGCTCCTGGACAGCAGGGGAATTCGCGATGTTGTCCTCGCCGGGTCAGCCTTTAACTGCATCGGTACCTGGATAAAAGTTAGCAGTGCCAGTCCGGATATGTTCCTGGTGACCTTCTTTGGACAGTTTGTGTGCTCAGTTGCCACAGTGTTTGTTCTTGGCATTCCTTCTTACCTTGCCTCAGTATGGTTTGGAGAGAACGAGGTTTCAACGGCTTGCTCCATCGGGGTTCTTGGAAACCAGGTGTGTCTGAAGAAGTCAAAACTAATCTTTCTACTTATTTTCAGAAGTTTCAGTTTGGTTTAGTTTGTGCACTTTAGTGAGAATAAAATGTTTGATTTTGATGATAATTTCAAGAAGAGGAAACTAATATGTGTGGATTGGCCATATTGAAGTCTTGCAAATAATTTTCTTACGCTCACACTTTTAAACAAGTTTTAGGTGAAAAAATTTTAAATTTTCAGTTGTCTAAAAAAATTAGGACACTTGCATAAACATTAGATTTATTCAAACATGTTCATACCTATTGTTTTCAGGAAACTAACTTTAGTTAATTTATGGTGGGCACCAAAAAATAACTTTTTCTCATTAAACAAACTATAATAACTAAAAATGGAAAAGTTTAGGACACCCTGGTGTATTTTTACCATCTTTAGCTGAAAAAAGCTCTTAAACTTGTATTCTCACCTTCAACTTTGAGATCTTTGAGTAATTTGGCAAGTTACACCACTGCATCTCAAGTGAGATTAAGATCTGGACTTTGGATCGGTTCTGAACAGAAGAGTTCAGTTCTTCAGCTTGAGTCCTTTTTTTTCTACACCTCATGTTTTATTGTAGCGTGGCTGCCTCTGATACATATCAGACCTGTCCAGATTCTGCTTCAAAGCAACCATAACACTTCTACTTCCATGATTTAGAGTTGGCATAAGTTTATTTTTCTTAAGCCAAACATGTCCTCTGTTCTGGTGATAGCAAAAACTATTCTGCTCAAAGCACATTGTTCCAGAGGTCCTGGTTTTTGTCTTTGTGTTCTCTGGTGTTTGTGTTTTTCTTAGAGTTCAAAGGTTTTTTCCTTGCAAATCTCCTATTAACTTGTGCTGTCTCTTTTGTGAGCCATAATCTTTTGTGCTCACAAAAGATTATGGCATCGTCTTCACTTTCACTTCAACATTCTGGAGCACACCAAACTAAATGTCTGTCTGAAGTTTAGAAAGTGCAAAATGTACTTCAAAATGCCAAGTAATGACGCTCTACTTGTGTGCTCCTCACGTGAAACACCTCTGCTCAAACTGGACCATTTCAAGTGAAAACACATTTAGAATTTTACCAAAAATTACATTTTTTTAAATGACACTTTACTGAAAGTTTTTGCAGGGTTTGGTTGAGTTTTGATTGAAGTTACATTTCTGAAATCCCCTCTATTGTTACAGTTGATGTTAACTAACTATCTAGACATATATCCAAAAATGCAAGCAAAACCCATTTCCTGTCACAGGTTGCCCTCATATTTTTGATGCCTGTATCAATTATATTTGTAAATATGTAAGTTAATATATTTGTTGGCCGAAATACCCCTTTGAGTTTACATATTGATAACAGTATTTGATACTGCATTATCTGTTTACCACAAGGACTTTTATTTTGTTTGAACTATCAAATGTTAAATTAAAATGTCCATTTTCAATTCAATTTAGTTTAATTAAATAGCTCCAGTTCCAGGAATTGTACTATCATGTAATTTCAATTCAATCGCACATACATTTCATGTGATCCTAGTATCTTTTGGTCCTGCTTCGATCACAATAAGGTGGCACTTGTTTTCATTTTTAATTTTGTGTTTCTGTGTTCTTTAACACACAGCTGGGCTGTGCCATCGGGTTCCTCTTACCTCCAATCCTGGTGCCTAACGTGGAAGACATGGACGAGCTGGCAAAGCACATCAAAACCATGTTCTACATAACAGCAGGAGTGGCTACTTTTCTTTTTATCCTCGTTATCTTTGGTAAGATAAATTTGACCAATAAAAGTAAAGTCTAGTAAAGTAAAGTCTTTTATGTGCAAGTCACCACTTTCTTATCTGGTCATAAAACAATTAAGAGTTGATTTTTTTCAGATTTGTTTTTTCCTCTTTCTAATTTAATTTAGAATGAGTAGATATGATGTCTTGAGCCTAATTACTTCCACAGAGTTGTATTTCTCAGCCAGACGACAAGATAATTAAAGTGTTTTTTTCTTAGATTCTGAATTTAGGCAAATATTAACTTGAATAAATGGGATTTTACTGTGAAACAGCAGCTTTCAACGAATGAATGAACAAGTAAATAATCAGAGACAGACTCGAGTTTATTGTAGAAAAGACTTTGCATCATTCTCCCTTAAGTATTTTTATTCTTTTAGAGGCGTATTGTGTGGGTCTGTTTTTGACCGGGCTAATGGGGAGTCCTTATTCAGCAGATCTTTTCAGGGATGGTTTTAAGTTCCATGCTCTGACTGAGAGCACAATTCAATTAAAAAAAGGAAAAACCGATGACATATGTGTACGCACTGGGAGATTCATATGAAAGAGCATTAGTCCACTCAGGAGAAATGTCCTGGCTGAAAGGCTTTCCTGAACAGAAGTCAACAGTATTATTTTGTCACAGCAGGGCTTTTTACTGATGTATTAGAAACAAAGAAACCAAAAGCCACAGGAAAATTCAGTACATTGTGATAAAGGGAAGTGGCGCGACATGTGAGGATGCACAGGATACGTGATGTTTGGACTAATGGTAATGTATAGTGATCTTTGAATTTCTGTGAACCGTCTATTTTTTTTCTTCCTGATTCAACATTTTCGTTCAGCTGCAAGGCCTTTTTATAAACTATTTATCTATTTCACACACCTGCATCTAAATGCTCTTCTATGGATTGTAAATTAACCACAATGCAAAGAAACAGGAAAACAGTTTGTAAAGCAAAGAAAAACAGTTCTCAGGAAGGTGACTGTCTTCTGTCAGCGGGAAAAGAGTGGGGACGCTGGTAATCACTCTAGCATTCCTTTAAACAAAAGGATGTTTGTGAAAGCATTTCCATCTAGTACCATGCACAACATTTTTTACAGAATAACCACTGTGTCAGTGTGAGTTTGTGTTGTGTGATAGTCTCCTGTTGTGGTTAACTGCAAACTTCAGCTAATTTCTTCAGCATGTGACCAGCTGAATGCTGTGTCGTGTGCATTTTTCAATCTGACAACTTTGAATGTTAAAATTGTATAGTTATAGGCAATAACTATATGAACATATTTTTTCTCTCCAAACTTATTCTACTGCATCATGCCTATAGTTTAAAAGGCTTTCAAATGAAAATCTGGTAAAACTTTTTTTTTTGTAACCGTCTTTGTCGGAATGTTGACTATTTCTTGCCTAATTTGTCTTTCTTTTCTTGGGTCAACATAACTAAAGTCACTGTGCAATTTGAAATCAGGTCACATTTCCATGGCTTAACTTTTGAGTGACAGAAATGTTGCATACCAGTGCACTAAGCTTGAGAAACATTGCTTAGTTTAGCTTTAAGGCTGGGGGGAAAAGGTATGCGTGTGCTAAATTAGCCGAGGCATTTCACAATATGGGAATTGTCTCTTTTAAAACTGACACGTTGCACTTTTGCTTAATGTTCCTTTTATATAGTTTTACTATTAATTCGGTGGGTTAAACGTAAGAAAAACGGAATTTCTAATAAAAAAAATATTTACAACACCTTCAAATTTGATTTTTATTACAATTTTTTAAAGTTATTTAGCTTGATATGTTGCTTTTTTTGCTAAGCTAAATAAAAAAAAGAACAACAGATCAGGGTAGGTAACATTAAATAATGTATACATTGCAAAATAATCATAAAAAGATGTGAACATTTTTTAATATTTACTTATCAATATCAATAGAGAATATTCAATAATTTTCAGTGAACTCTAATCTAGAACCGTAGGCAGAGGAAAGGGTTTAGCCTCTCGATTCCCACGGCGAGCGAAGCAAGGTTAGTTCATTGACTAACTAACTCGCTCTTTGGTTATCTAGCAGCAACAGTTTCATGACTGCTTAAAATAAACTACAGCTGGAAGTAAAAGGAGAAAATGAATGTAATAGCTCAAGAGAAAACTCTGGATAAAAGAGGAAAGGTCATTTGACCAGTTTGACAGGTTTTCAAATATTTAAAACAAGCCATAATTATCGCTATTAACTGACATGAATCGCGAAATCGCAATACGGTTTTCACCCATATTGTTCAGCCCTTATCGAAGGCGCTTATTTTACATTACACGGGATGTACTTTAGAGTAGTTGAGTTTTTTTGTTTTCATTGTAAAATGAAAACAAAGCTTCGACTAAAATATACTTTGACTTTTTCACTGTTAGCACCACAAACATGTTCTGTAGATTTTCCTTCATTTATTTCAAGCATGGCAATTTTTTAAAGCAACATATGGATCTCTTCATGTGTTTTTGTAAGATAATTTCATTCCACTTAGCTTCATCATATGACACATACACACAAAACACATCCAGGCTTCCATGCAAAATGCCATGTGTGAGGGCCGTCCTGCTGGGAAGGCCATCTGTAGCCCTGCAACAGTCCTGTGAGTCAGCAGGGCGGACAAAGTCCCGCGAATGAGAAATTTGCATAAACTGTGTGCAGAGAGGTGAGAGAACAAGTTTGGCTGCTGCACTAGTTTGCTAAAAGACATTGACCACCCATGCATGTAAAAATTAACAACTTGGTTTACAAAAAGTTCCTGTTTTAAATTTTGATTTTTAAATTTACAAGCAAACATAAAGAACTGGTAAAACAAACAAACAAATAAAAAACAAGATTGGCACATTTCAACTCCATTTTTAACTATGTTTCTTAATTGGCATAGTAGCAATTATTACAAACTGATTACATGGAGGAAAAGCTGTCAAAGAAACAGACACACCTATCTGTGTTTTTTCACACCTAATACTGACAGTCAGTAAGAGGATTGTGCTCAATGCAAAAGTGCTGAGTGTCATTTATGAAAAACTATGGGAGACATGGATGACTAGGAATGACTAGGAATGGACCAATGTGAAAATATGATCAGATAAAATTCATATTTATGTTATGGCCGATACAATATTGATATGTTGTATCATATTACATTTGTTTACCTAAACGTTCAACGCTATAAAAAATGTGATATTGCTCCTCAGATTTAGTTTTAATACTTCACAATCATCACAGTCACATGTCCAAACAAATACCACACAGCTGAAATACAACAATATGACAAACTGGACATAGATAGACATTAATAAATTCAAAATTCCACTTATGGGATCAATACTGATATGTTACAAGATATGATATGATATGATATGCATTCCTACAAATGACCATTGTGTCGTAGACCGTTTCCCCAGTTTATACTTGATGTTGTGACTCATTTCTTTAGATGTTTTTAGATTGTTTCACAAGAAAGCAGTGTCTTGAGGTGATGCCTTAAAATTCATCCATGTGTGTTGCCATTTAACTAAAATGTTGTGAATTAATATTAGAAACTTCCAGAGTATGATGCCATCATCTGTGCTTTACATTAATTAATAAAATGTAATAAAAACACCAACTGACTGAAATAACAAGCATTTAATCTAATCTAATTCCAGACAGGGACTATTCCTATGGTACTATTTTGATTACTATGGTAATATTTGATTAAACTGTATCCTATCTTGTTTTCTTCTTATTTTTTGTCAGTTTTCCAGGAGCGCCCAAAGCTTCCCCCGACATTGGCGCAGGCCTCAGCTCACACAATGCCAGCGGAGGACAACTCCTATGTAGCGTCCATCCTCAGGCTGCTTCGAAACAAACCCTTTGTGCTCCTCATCATCAGTTATGGTCAGTGAAAATGTTTTATTCTTGTGCTTGTAAATACTTCTGTTATAATGTGCATTAAAAATATTTGAAATTGGTTATTAATTTTAAAATTTGGGTTCACAAATACAAATATATATATATATATATAATATATATATATATATATATATATATAATATATATATATATATATATCTAATATATATATATATATATATATATATATATATATATATATATATTATATATATATATATATATATTCGGTAGCATTATACTGCTAATTGTTTCCACAAAATATCAAACTGTGTTTATTCTCTTCCTTGATTAGCATTGATTACAGTGACAAAAAAAAAAAAAAAACTTCCAGGAAGGCCTGAAGACACTCTATTTATTGACTGACGAAGTACATCTTATCACTCGGTCATGGATGTATCCATACACGCAGCTATCACCGTTATTGGAAAACCCACTGAGATTATAGGGAACACATGTTGGAGTGGTGGAAGGTTTGCACATCTGCTAATGTTTAACTACTAGTTGGCCTCAATGTGACTGAAAGATCACACCACAAGTTCATGTTTTAATTCTTGGAGCTCCAAGAAGAAATCAGTTACAAACTGAGCGAATAATGACAAAAATCACTTTTCAAATAAATATTTTACAACAAAATGAAGACAGTCTTCTTCATGAAAAAATATTTGACTGTTCACAAACCATGGATTGTCTTAGACTTTTCTTAAAATGTGATTATCCTCTGGGTACTTTCACTTCTGTCTAAAATATATAAATAGTAAAAAGAAAAAAAATTGTTTTTGTTTCGCTTTCCTTGATTTGAATTTAATGACAAGTGCTGGACAAGAGTTTCCTAGCACTTCCTTCATGTGAACCTTTGGGTCACAGGTCGCTGGACTCAGTCTTTTCCTGTCTCTGTCATTTCACTGAACTCATGTTGTTTTTCATTTCAGTCCAACTGGATTTAAGAACCAATCCTCTCATTATCTTTATTGCAATATAAAATTTAGTGTGATGTAAAATTGTTGTAATTTTGTTGTTGTATAATTGTTCATCAAGAAATACAGTGAAGAGTTTTAGATAAAGGGCCAGAAATGGCCAAAATCAAAACATTAAATAATTCCATAAATACAGAAAAAAAAATGTAAATGCATACATTGAATTGTAAAGAAATGTTTACTGGTAACCACAAAGTTAGTGGTCTGCAGCAGAGCTAGGTTAGCCAATTATCTTATAATGGACTGAAGCACAGGAAATATGAAATAATAGAGTCATTAGTAAATTAGAGATATGATTATTTGTGGAAAATCAATTGATCTTAATCCATATGTGAGGGATTAAACCAGCACAGGATCAGCAAAGTAAAATTGATCACATTTATTGAATACAAAGATATATTCTTGGGAACATCTGATAGCAAAATGCCTGAAGTGATCAGAGATGTTACCTCCAACAAGAGATTTTATAAAGCGACTACCCCACCCAAATCACACAGTGATCTTTCCCCATGAATCTGCTCATCTCTTCCCTCTTTAGCTGCAGGTTTAAGGTTTGTTTTCCTGAGCTGATGCACAATACAGCCACTGGGAACTGATTTTCCACTGGGATTCACAGAAGTCTCCCTCCTCACACTGTTCTTCAACCAATTTGTTAATGGCATTTTATTAAATTAATACATTTACTAAAATAAATGTTATTGTTTGGATTGTGGTACTTTTGGCAGTAGATAGTTATCAAGTGCAATGTCTGATTGTCCCAAAGTGCAACTTTTGATAACTGAGTTAAATAACTTGATGTAATGGTCTCTCCTGACAGGTCTGAACGTGGGTTGCTATTACTCTATTGGAACTCTGCTCAACCGCATGATCATCGAACATTATCCTGTGAGTTCAAAAATTATCTGCACTTATCTCTAAATTAATTTATTATTTGAAGAAATGCAATGATCATTCAGCCCAGGGAATTTTACCTTGACCAGTTGTCAATGCTGACTAATCTGGGTTTTTTTTTTTTAAACTCCCACAGTTTTTGGTTTTACCTTTCGACAGTTGTTTCATATGTAATAAATAAACAAACTTCTTTTTTTTACATTTCCATCTAAAAGATAAAAAGGCTACTTTTTTTCATAAAATGGGTTTACTACTGTAGAAACCTTGTATAACCTTAGCATTAAATATAATGTAACTAACTGATATATTAGCAGCAGCTGATAATCAAAACTATGATTTACACCATTACATGTTTTTTGTTGTTGTTGCATAAGATCCCAATAAAATGTCTTGGAAGTTTTGAATACATTGCAAGGCACTGTTAACCTTAACTATTTTTTATTAATAACACAATGTATTTTAATTGCTTTGTTAGGAACTTGAGCTCACTTCCTCTTGCCGTGTTTTGTGACAGGGTGAAGAAGTGAATGCTGGGAGGATTGGGCTCACAATTGTGGTTGCAGGAATGGCTGGCTCCCTGATCTGTGGAGTCTGGCTTGACAGAACAAAAACATATAAGTAAGTCAACATGAGCGCAGCAGGTCCTGAGAAAGGAAGATGTTTGGTTTATGAGATTAAAGAGTAAAGAGAGATATAATTGGAGGTCACATATAGCCAACTTTCTAAGAAGTTATCAAATTTTAATCTAAAGTCAGAGGCCCATATTTAAATCTTTAAATACACATCTCTTTTTCCCCGTCTTCTTCTGTAGTGTTTTATCTGTTGGCTGTTTAGTCTGCATGGCTGTTTAATCAGGTGCAGCCTGCTGTTACAACTGCGACCCCTGTGATCTTTCTCCTGAGCTCTCAGGCTGTGGGAAAATGATGGTCATTATTCTCAGCTGTTCTCCTTAAAAGACTTTTCCCTCAATTGGGGAAATATAGAAAAATTATTTCCCCTGAATTAAAAATACTCCACTAATGCACAGTAACATCTGGCTTTTTTGGAACAGTGGAAAATTTGGAACTGGTTTGTTGTTTCTCCAGTGATTCTGCTCTAAGACATTTATTAGCTTTATCCTCTGACAAAAACAACACCAGTTTATAATGTGGCTGGAACAGTGAACACACCTCACCTTTGGTATTCAGAAAGCATTAGCGAAGTCTCACTGAAAGGCTCTGAAACCTACATCTAAAACCTGTCGGACCAGAGAAAAGCTGACGTTGATGTTAGCAGTCGGTGAGACAGCCGGCTGCTCCCCGTCAGTCCTACTGTGTGGGTTGACTTCAACAGTGCAGCATAAAACGATAAATCATCTCAAAGCGTTGCACTTTCCAGTTATTGTGGTGCAACACATTCTGTGTGGGTATTTGAGTGCCACAGTGGAGGAGAAATCCTCTTACCGTGAAGCGTGTTTTGACCATAATAAAAAAAGATTTTTCTGGAAAAAATCAGAAAGAAATTCCGACAAAGTACTTTAACATTTTTGTTCTATAAAATGTTAGATTTTTGAGAAGATGTGAAGCGAAAACGTTTTCATGTTGAACATGTTTATTTTTACAGACAAACTACTCTCGCTGTGTACGTCATGACTCTGGTGGGTATGATCGTATACACTGCAACACTCGACCAGGGACTCCTCTGGGTGGTGTTCATTACTGCTGGATCTCTTGGGTATTATTATTTATGATCTTCTGGTGTATGGGTTGTGAAGAAAGTTTCAGATTATGGAACAAAATGTAACAAAATCTTTCTGATCAATATTAACTATTGGATTTTTTTGTTCATATTTTAATGTAAAAATATAAATTTAAATTAAGGAATTTTGACACAATATATTGAACAAACTTACCGTACCACTATTAGTTGCTAAAAAAAAAGTTGTCCTTGTAACACCACCCCTTTGTACTTTATGCACACACAATTTTACAGATGAATTGATTCTACCTAAAAAAAATTAGTTAATGTGAATTAAAACAAATTGTTACAAATTTTGTACCTACATGCTTAGATATAATTAAAAAAACACATCCATCATGTTTGCTGTCATCCTATTTCTCTTTATCAAAACATGTTTGCTGACATTGAAAAGTGTGCTATCTGAAAGACTTTTGTTTGCTGTCACTTCTGTGGAAGAAAATAAACTTCCTACAGTTGCTTAGTAAATGTATCCGACGCCAAAACTTTGCTGATAGGCCTAAAATCCCTACTGCCATAAAGCAATAGAAAGATTAGAGCACATTTAGGAGGTACAAAGTTTTCTTCCACATGTGAATTGTCATGAAAAACTCTAACAGTTCAGTAGACGTAATACTGAGACTGAATGAAACAAATATTATCAGTTCAATAAATCCGATTGCAGCTGTTTTTCGAGCATGATGTAATTATGTATTTTTTGCATGTGTCTGGCTCCAGGTTCTTTATGACAGGCTACCTGCCTCTCGGTTTCGAGTTTGCAGCTGAGCTGACGTACCCGGAGTGTGAGGGAACGTCTTCGGGATTGCTGAACTGTTCGGCACAGGTGAAGCTGTGACTCATATGCGAGCCTTTTATGACACAGTAGTAAGAAAATCTAAAGCGAAGAATACATGTTAGGATGAAGGTTAGCCCAAAAGAACTATATTGTTGTTTTGTTTTTACATCTAACTGAACACCTTGTGCACACATAGGTGTTTGGCATCATATTCACAATCTGCCAAGGGAAAATCATTGACAAGTTCGGGACGTTGGCAGGAAACATCTTCCTCTGTGTATTTCTGCTGATTGGCTCAATAATGACAGGTATGGCTTTTGTGAATGTATAAACGTGTGAAGCAATTTTACGGTATTATTTTGAAGTCATTCATACTGAGGTGTGCAACGCCAATGTTTTCATTTCTCCAACTCTGTCATTGTTTTACTAAAGCCTCTGTGGAAGGTGGTAAATTCCAAGAATGTTGCTCTTTGCTTCTAAGTATCTTGAAGCTGTAAAAGGTCATATTTCAGGAAACAAATATATTTTTTACCCCATAATGTCAGTTCTGTATTACTGTAAAACATTATGTAAAAAGACATGAGTTTCATTGGCAAGGAATAGAGAATAAAAGAGTGCACAAGAGGACAAGATCTTTTAAAGGCACCATACAATTATTTTACAAAAACAAAATCTTGTTTTTCTACATATCTGCAAAGTCAAACTAAATAAAAAACGTAATCTAACACATAATCTTAAGGTTACTATTAAAAAAATTACTGTAATTCTCAAAAGCATTTATACCGCTTGACTTTTTCCACATTTTGTCATATTGCAACATAAAAAGCAATGTAAACATTAGAAGTCTTTATGAAAAATGAACACATTAGTCCATGATTAGTAGTGAAAAGTAGTGCTTTTAGTTTTTTTTGTTTTTTCTTAGAGAAAACCTTCCAATCCTCAACGTAAGAGTGAAGGACAGCGTGATGTTAAAGTCTATCTAATGCTTTCATACACACAACAGCAGACCAACGAGTACTTTTGAAAAAATCATTTGCTGAATATTTTAGGTGTGCAACATTTTGTTATCGTCCACACTTGTGCTAAAATAAAATGTTTCTTATCCCTGTTTATGTAGTTTCTGTGACGTTGCGTTATTCTTTAGTCACCACAAGGGGGCGACACGCCACAAACTCCACACGTTTCACTTTCATATTATTAACTATTTTCTCGAGGGTTATCTTTTTAAAGCTCAGGACCAGAGGTCTGTAATATGAGGGCATAATTAACTCTCAGATATTTTTAGACATTTTGATGGACACATGAAGCAATATGAGAAGATCTTTTTTTTTCTTTCAGCCAGTATGCATATGTCTTATAATATCAACTCAGATATGTTTTAAAAAGTACTTCTACAGCGGTAAACAATGAGGCAATTTGAAAGGGATTTAAAAAAAAGTAGATACAAATCTGTTGACAAGTATGAAAATAAAGGAACCACCCAATCAACAATGTAGCTTTAAAAGAATCAGATGGGAAAGCAATCTGAATTGCATGCAGATTATGTAAGGTGCACAACAGGTTATTCATGCGGTGTGTAACACAGTAGCAGAGTGATTTCAGTAATTAAAGGTTACTGACCTTCCTCAGTCAATACAGAACTACTAAAGTGTTTCTTTCAAGGTCTATTGAGAGCTTTATGAGCAATGTGTTACTTTTGACAATACTTTTGATGCATTGAGGCAATAAACCTCGTGTTCGCTAGAAAAACAAGAATCCGTGATGAGACTTTATGCTCTCATAGGTCAGGAGATTGACTCATTTGTTTACACAGAGTTCAGACTGTCAATATCCTGTTTTGATCATAATGGTTTTAAAGGAAAAGAAACTGCTTATCAGAAAACAAAAAACTTACATTTGATTTAATTTGCTTTCACATAGAATTTGTCAGTTATTCTCTTCTTGTGAAATAAACAAAGCTGTAAAATCTTTGATATCCGTAGAGGATTTAATGTCTAGGTTTTTGCCAATTCTCTCTTCCTGCGAAGTCTTTGAAAATATTCAGCTTATGTGGCACCAGTTAAGACTTTAATGGGTTTTCTGGCTATGATTTCTCTCGCTGCCATCATTTATGCTTGTATACAGCATAACATTTTATCTTTATTAATTTTTTTACAACATAATTTTATGGCATCTCATGATCTTGAGCTGCATCTTTCTGTGTTGTAGGTTTGATCAAGTCTGATTTGCGGAGACAAATTGCAAATCGACAGGCCAAAGAAGAGGTAAGTGGTGAAGGACGGTAAGGGGATGGTGCTTGTGTAGAGATTGTCAAAAAAAATTGATAAAGGGAAAATAAAGTGAAAATGACAAAGTAATAAACTAGATCACAATAAAACATAATACAAGATTATTTATCGTACTTTATACATACTAAATATGTCTTTATTCACAGTAATATTAGTAAACGCAGAGTCAAAGCTATTTTTGAATGACAATTGTTACTATTGTGACTTTCTTTTTGTGTGTTTGCTTGTAAGGCACAGTCACGTTTACCACATGCTTCTCTAGAAATAACCAACTCTGTTCCAATGTTGTCTATTTGTGCCATATGTATTTTGCATACAGGTGTACTCAGACGTAAATTCATGATCAGAAATAAAATGACAAGAAGATGCACAAGTGTTAGCCAACATATACTGCCCAGCCAAAAAAAAAAAGAGAAAATAGAGACAGTATCAGATTTTTGTTCGACCATCTTTATGTTTGATGACAGAACCCATGGTGCTGCTTTCAGCTAGAAATGAAATGTTAGTACATTGGTTCCCATCATACATTGTCTTTTTTTTAAACGTCAGTTTGAAAACCTAAAAAAAAGTTTCCTGATACACAAAGTTACAATTTCACCCCCAGAAATCCTCAAATCCACAACGACTTTGTCGTTTCAACAGTGTCACTTATGTGTCTATCAGGTTTTGCACATTCAATGACTAAATTCAGTGCATATACAGGATTTCAAAATTGCGTATTTAGCAACTGAAACACAAAATGTACTGTTCCCTCTGTCAAAGCGAGCTGCTCGCATCATATATGAGGAAGAAGAAGGATGAGGAGGAGTAGGGAAAAAACGACTCACAGGGTTTATGACACATTGTCAGAGAGAGGAATTGTGTGCAGAATGCCTTTTTCATCCTCTTTGTGCTGTTAGTAAGTTTCTGAAAAGAATAACACAAACAAAAATAAAGGAATCATAGCTTTTTATAATTGTTTATTTATAGTCGCCTTCAAAACCCACATGTACATTGAACAGGACAGAAGCAGTCAAAATAGCATGGAATACAATAGTCAACACAGCAGGCAAAGACCTTGTGTTTGATCCTTCACTGCATGGCTGTAACTCATGGTGGGGGTGCAGGAACTTCCCAGAGTCAAAGGCAAATTGCTTAAACTCTGAGAAGACATTCTGGTGGTGATGTGAAACCCTTGATGATGCCATTGTGGTTGTACAGCCAGGAAAGCTTTTGGAACAACCTACGTTGTTTGGTGAGTACATATAGCAGACTGGCGTCGTGATCCCCTGAGACTCAAATTAGTTTTTCAATCCCCCTCCTGTCCAGCAACACTTAAAAGGTCTTGAAGGCCTAAATGCATTTTCTTTATCTTCATCTGGTGTGAAAGTGGGCTTCATGAATGAATGCTCACTGCATTGAACGGAATCAAATGAAGGTGAAAATTTAATAATCACTCTTCTAAAATGAGTCTCTTAACTGTGTGCTTTGTTAAATGTCTTTGTTTGGCTGGGCAGTGCATGTTTGTCTACAGCTGCAATCAATCCAGAGATACTGCTCTTGTGATTCACAGTTTTCGAACTGTTTAGTCATCGTGTTTTTCTAATTCTGGATGGGCCTCCGAGCTCTGTGGTGAAGTCGGAGCTGAGTGCTGACAGTAAAATCTTGGGTTTCATGTGTGCACATTCCTCACTTCGATTCTAGATGTGCCTGAGTCACCTTGAGCTATACTGTTGGCTTTTGCAAACTTGCACCTTTGCACTTTCCTCAGGACAACGAGGCGCTGACTTTGAATCTTTTTTCTTTAATTCAGTAGCTTGATCAGAGAAAATTCGGTGGCTTTTATGAATAATGGCGCAATTAATTAAATCTACGTCAGTTTCTCCTGAACTTCATCCCAGACTGGAGCCCCATGCATCTGTAATTGCTGAATGAGAAGTGATCGGCAGCTGTTGTTTTAGGCGGAGAGGCGGATGCTGGAACAAGACTACGGAGCGACAACCCAAATCTCATCCCAGCCACAAACTCCTTCCTCTCAAGCCTGATCAAACAAAAAATTTCTGTTTACACAAAAAAAATTCTCAAATTTTAGCTCAACTTAGAGCATTAGAAAGGTAGGAGCACAGAACAATCACACACTATTGTTGATTATCTTGCCACCTGCTGTACACTATTTCACTGCACACCTTTAAATCTCACCACTCTGTCTCTGTTTGTAAAGATCAATGCTTAATCAACTGTGCTTTTTAATTCTTTCACTGTAATGGCTTGAAATTATTTTAATTTTGTCGACTCCATTTGAAGTGTGAGGTAGCTGTAGAAATCCTGTCATATCCTCAGATCTATGCACTTGCTGTATATGAAGTACCTTGTTAAACCGACAGAACCCTCGACCTGCTTGACATTTTATTATGGAAAATACCACAAACTGTGTATATTTTTGGGATTTTATTTTATATAACAACACAAAGTAGTGCCTGATTGTGAACTGTTAGGACTTGATAGTTAAAAAAAAAATACAAATATGAAAACATGGCAGCCTTCCTCATTCTCCATTATAGCAGCTGAAACAAAAGAAGCAAAATTAACAAATATTTTTGCGCATCCTCTCTTTTGGCTTCCCCTAATCCTTTAGTCCTAACAGAGAATTAATCCTTTTCTCCAGATCTAAGCAAATTAATGTTATTTTTTTTCTTTATTATTAATGAATTAATATTGAAAGGTTCTCATTTGTTGGTGGTGAGAACCAAATGTACTCAGTGTGAAGTATTATTATTAGGCATGTTTTTTCATATGCTTACTATGTTTGGCTAAACATACCAGTCAAATGGCTAATTTTGGTATACATATAGACATTTATATTCAATTAACACATATTTTTAATTTACAGGAACCTCGTGATTCCACCATGGGAAACTTGGACTTACCCACCATCATCAAAGAAGTCCGGTTGTAGAGGAATTAATTTAATCTGACAATTTCAATATGAAGTACTGATAATCATGAAACCATCAGATCTTTTTACCTTCTGAATAGACTGAGACAAATCTGTCAAACAATGCTGCCTTGACAGTTTGATCTGTCAGTATTTTTATTTTTTATGTTTATTAATATTACCTGACTACAATAGAGCAACAAAGTTTGATATTTTGTTGTTCCACTTTAGATTTGATTTCATTTCACAGTAGTTTTGAGATTTAGGTGTATGATTATGACCAGAGTTGCTGGGAAAACCGAAATCGTAATAGTGTTTTTTTTTGGTTTGTTTTCTTGTTTTTTATTATTATTATTATTATTATTATTATTATTATTATTATTATTATTATTATTATTATTATTATTATTATTATTATTATTTTGTGCAAACTTTAGGAGGTGAAGGCCAGTGTGATTACAAGTAGAGTTTATTTGTTAAAACCCAACTAATGAAGACAAAGAGAAATATCTACACACTTTATGAAAACAGTCACAACTTGTGCTGCTATTAGAATCCATCATTAGAGACTGGTTTAAAGGGGCAGTATTATGTAAAATTGACTTTCTTGAGCTTCACACCATGTTAAAATGTCATTCCCTCATCAAACACAGACCTGAAGTATTACCCTGATTCTTTCATTCTTGTTTGAAAAATTTTTCAGTCTCTCATGGCAACCATTCAGATGTGCACAACACCTGCGGGAACCTAGCATCACCTTTGGGATGTAACTTCACCCTGGTGCTGCAATTTCAAAGCTTCTAAGCTTCTGCCTCACAGAACAGCCCTCCCCAGCAGCTGCTCCCCTCAGCTCCTTCAGACTAGTCAGCAGCAATTAGTGCAATAGGTGGATCTGCTGTGCTTGTTATATGAGCTACTTCTCAGTGCAACGCTGTTAAAACTGCTGTTAAAACTGCTGTTAAAACTGCTGTTAAAACTGCTGTTAAAGGGTTAATAGAAGAGTGATGTTGTGATTACGTCCTGAAGGTGCAACTTCAGAAAGAAATATTTGTTTATATGTAACATTTTTATAACAACTGAAGGCAAGTTAGTTAGTTGATTGTGCCATAAAATTTCACTGCGTGCCTACAAAACAGATAATATTCCCCCTTTACTGGAGAAAAAATTCATGTAATTGTATCAGCAAACACAGTATTCATTTCAGTTTTTAAAGGGCTGAATCCTTACAGGAGATTTCCAGTCACACTGACTATTCAAAGCACTTTACACCAGAGCCAGATTCAACCAATCATGCTCACATTTGTACAAGATGTAGATTGGTAGGCAATTTGCCTTGCTCAGTGGCACATTGACAAATAGCAGAAATCAAACAATTAATTTGCTGCTGAGCCACAGTCACCCATGAAGCTCTTTTACCTTCTGTGAAGACAAGTCATCACCCCCTTGCAGACATATACATTATTATTGCCCCTGGAGAAGAGGTGTAGAAGCCCCTCACATCAATTGTTATTGACATTTGACATTAGGGACATTTGGTAATCCTGAGTATTGTCCTCTTAGTTCCAGTAGCCTACTTCCATTTTATTTTAATTTGCTCTACCATCCTCTTCACTTGGTATGGATCTTGTTCAGTTTTGTGTCATAGTTCTAGATATTTAACTTTTTTTTATTTCTCCTGTTATTTCTCTTTAGGTTGGTAGTTATTTTCTTGAAGACTAATTTTTTTCATGTCAGCACATTTTTAAAGAGCATTGCTTAAAACACATTTTGAAAAAGGAAAATATGGGTTTCCAGTTAAACACTAACTACCTTAGAATAGCAAAGAAAAAAATTACAATCATATTTCACCTACATTCTTAGACTGAATTATTTTTCTCCGGTGGATTATTCTTTTCAAATTAAAAGTTGGATTTTTCTAAATTTGGAAGTGCAATAAAATAAATATTTACACTGTTATAAAAGTGATATAAACATTATTATTGTGTTTTAGTAAAAAAATGACTTATTTATAACAAAAGAGGGGTTGTAGCTTCTTGCAAACTTACTGAAGTTTATTTCTTAGGGATTTAAGTTCATAAAAATAACTAGTCAGAAAATGAGAGAAGAAATTTGGGAACAATATTTATTCAGCAACACAGACCCAGACCTTGCATGCAAACATTCACATTCAGGCATTCCAAATTAAAGTTTGGACTAATTCTGAGTCATTCATTTTTTATAGGTTTTTGATTCTCTGACATAGTAAAATACAATAAGTGTCAGACAAACAATCACACTCGCTTACAGACATTAAATGACTCTCGTTCTGATTAGAGTTATACTTTATACTCTGTGATTCCACTCCAATCACAGATGTCATTAGAGTGGAACAAAACGTTCTGCTAATCTAAAAGGTTCATTAAGGATACTTTCTAGGTCAGTTAGAGCAGACAGTTTCAAAAGTGTGCAAGATCTGAAGTGTTTGTGCTGAGTTCTAATTTCACTCTAAAAAAAATACTGACTTTTTACTGATTCAACGGTCTGAATGTTTCCCACATGTCCTCTTGTGTTGACTGGTTACTTTCTTTTCAGTTTTACGGATTATCACTACGTGGATAAGCACATTCACTCTCTATGTTGCTACAGAAACATGCTATTTAGGTAGCAAAAGTGTATCATGTATTTTCTTGAAAACTGTATTTTATTTTATTTTACTTTTTGTAATTTTATTCTCAGCTGACACTGGGATTGATTAACTGAACCAAACAAACAAATGCTGTAACACAACCTCTAGAGGGCGCCCTTCATCCATTTCTCTTTTCACATTCAAGAGTGGAATAGCCTGATTTTGAAGACAATGGCTAACCATTGTTCTTCGGTTTTCATCACTTGTCTCTGTTTGAATTAGACAGGCAATTGTGATATTAAAATTAAGAGGAAAAGCAGCTCTATAAAACAAGAAAAAAAACATCTAGCCAATTTTAACTTTTAATTATTGCCCATCCCCCGCCCTTTTTTCACTACATAAATCCAGGAGGAGTCTTTAATTTTGACTGACTAACCTAGAGCCTCATAATTTTGATGAGTAGGCACTACAGACACAGTTCATGTCAGTAGAAGGATATCCATGATTAAGGCAGGGACATTTTTGTAATTTGATATGTACAAATACTCCTTTTTACTTTTTTAAACATAAAATAAAATTATTTTGTAAAGGTTCTTCTTACGATCACTTGTCACAGTATGTGTATTTCACAATGAAACTTACATGTCATAGTCAATGTCAATTTCAAGCCCAGATGCACCACAAGCCAGTAAAAGTCTAAAATTAACATTTACACTACTGATCTTTTTATTATTCTTTTTATCACAAATGGCACCAATCTGAAAGAGAGGTATGTTTAAAGATAAAACTGTTACTTATGCCAGCTCCAAGTCTACAGCCACATATCTCTGTCAGACAGTGACCAAAGTATGCATAGTTTAATACTAAAAGTTATTAAACTATGCAACTTCTATTGTTTTGGAGAATGAACTTTAGCAACAAAATGTTTTTGAGTGAATGTTCACTTAGATTTTAGGTCAGAGTGATTGCATATGAAAATAGTCAATTCAGATTAAGCTACTGAATATAACCTAATTACCTAAAGTGGATCTCTAACATAAACACATCTTTGCTAGAAATCAAGGTTTCTGAAACATTTGTTTTCCACATTTAATGTGACATCAGCAAAATAAGAAGAACATGTTGGAATAACTTGGTCCTTCTGATTCAGTAGCTTCCAGCACCTTCAAATATTGCCATGAAATGGCAATATTTTCTCTACCTTTCGAAAGTTTTGAAAAATCTACCACATTGTGAGAATATCCACAGGTTCTCTGACAGTCTTAGTTCTGCACTGTGGTTTGACTTACAATTTCAAACCATTTTGATTGTTAACAAAATTGCAAAGCCTATTTGAGTTGTTTCCAATTCAAAGCTGAAGAAAGGTAATATATTGACATGTAACCAAATATAAATGTACATTTCACTTTTCATATTTTTATCAATTAATATTTTGAAAACCATGTGTTCTTTCCTTCCACTTCTCCAGTGCACAGTACTTTGTTGGTACATCACATAAATTCTCAGTAAAATATATTAAAGTATATGGCTGCAAAATGAAATTGTTGCAAAGAAAATGTCAAAACCTATAAATATTTCATATCAATTCACCTGCTGTCTTTATTTGATAGTAAGGAAGACAAAGTGAACACAGATTTTGTTTTTATATTACACTATATGGTATTACTGTACCTTCTGGATCGCTTCAGGCTTGCTTGTGGAATAAATATTGGCCTCAACAGGTACAGCGAAAAGAAAGGCTGCAGTACCACTTATGACCAGCTGATGGCATGATAGACATATCACCCAATACATTTTTGTGATTAGTATCTGTGTGTGTGTTTTAACATTTCTCGTCTTTTCCAACAAATCCTACATTGTGAGAGTCCACTGCTCCTTATGGGGCCCACAGTCTGGGCCCCACAATAAGAAGTGCTGTTCATTCATGAAAAATGAATGGAAGTCATTGCAAAGTTCTTGTAAAGGCAGACAGACCCACTATGGGTGTGTGTCTGTGTGTGTGTGACGTGCAGTGCTCCAGTCAAATCTATTTTCAGTAGATCAACAACTGCAGTCAAAGAAGGGTCAGCAAATCATTTGGATCAGGAAGAGTGAAAAAGCTGCAAGTTTCACTTCATGTGAAATGTAAAAAATAAGTTTAATGGAGGGGTTTTCGACAAATAAATGATTCAAAACCCTCCTAAAATGAAAAGCAGACAGATCAGTTTTCACATCAGGCTCCAATTTTGTGATGTCCAGTTAAGTTCGATCAGAAACAAGAGTGCTACTAGTGTCAGGTATCTGGTATTAATTTTTCTGATTAGATTATCCATCTTAAAACAATTTCTCATAGCTTTGTTTTCACAGGATCATTACAGTCATAGCTGCATTGACAAAGAGAATAATATTTAGTCTATGATGGTTGCTGAGTTTACTTGAGAAACTTACAAACTTTGCACATTAAATCTGATTCTTGTGTAAGGCATTGTATTGATTTATGGAAGATTTTCTGGTATGAACTATCACTACAGTTACATTCCTCGAACACGGAGGTATCTACTTAAAAATATGTTGTGATACCCATGGCTAATAAAATGTTTTATAAAGAAAACAAGGAACATAGGGAAGGCATTTAACTGGAGTCTTGAGATTGGGAAAAGTTACATTTACATTGAATGCAAATTTTTTTAACTGTAGTGTTCAACACAGCTGCCAGCGTTCTGAGGTATGGCCAGCTACGCAAGCTCACCGTGAAGCCAAAAGAAGTCTCCAAAAACCATCAAATGTCCTCAGGGAACCTGCAGCTTGAAAGTGCATACCAGTGCAATCAGAAAGAGACTTCACAAGTGAAATGTTCCTGGGAAATGAGTAAGGGGGAAACCTTTGCTAGCTAAGAAAAACATGAAGACAGACCAAGTTTTGAGAGAAATAACATCTACAAAAGCCAGAACTCTGGGAATAAAGTTCTCTTGTCCATGGGAGTTCATCTCTAATCCTTAAGGGCTGTTGTTCTGCCATTTTAGTTTCCATTACTTCAAATGACTCAGAGTCAGAAAGAAGTTTTGCTGCACAGTTTGAAACATCAAGTCCCTGGTAGCATTTACAAATAACATCAGTGCTTCCATTTTGGCCGATTTTGGCTGCTTATAGTCATGGCACTGCAACTTTGAAAGGGTAACATTAATCATTTAACCATCTAACCGTTAATTAGGAAGTAAAACGTGACCTTTAGAGTAGAGAAACCTTTAAAAATAGCAAAATCAGCACAGAGAGTACTTAATTGAAAATAGCCTGTTCCAAAACATTTAAAGTTACACCTTGTGGAAGTTGTAGCTCCACAGATTGATCAGTATTACCTCTGATTTGGCAATGGTGCACCACGTTCCAAAGCTTGATGATTTATTCTTTAGTAAAAGCCTGCCCAATTGCGTCACAGCCCTGAGTGTGGCCGATTCTGTCTTCCTCTTGGCGCTTCTCAGATATGATCAACTAGCCACATCGTCATCTATCCCTCACCCACAAACCAAAAACACACAGCTGAAATCATAGACCGTATCGTGTTTTCTAGCATTCTGTAATTCACTTCTGTGCTATTTACTTTACTACATTGTAGGCCTCCACAAAACTGGTTAGGCCCTTCAAGCGAAGTCTAAATTTGCCGATATCATTGCCACTAAGTGTAGGAGTGTGAAGCCATCATGAAAAGGAGAAACACGGAAAAAGAGGAGGTGAAGATGCTGTGACGCATCGCCTCAGCAGAGGCTGTGTGAAACACCACTGCAAAGATGGATCATGATTTCTGACACACAGGTTGAAAAAAGAGCTGAGGACAATAGAAAAAGTGTTAAAAGGTCCAAATCTGCGGACAATCAAGAAACAAGCGGGGAAAAAAAACTTTTTTTGTCTTGAGTTGAACACTATGCCTTTGGTTGAAGGAAATTTACGTGTGTTAAACACTTACAGATGGCAGCTACTTCAGAGAGGCTGCTGAATGAACACCTCATCCATGACCATTCTGGAGAAATGTGAGTCACAGATGGACACCAGAGATGGGAGGCACTTCTGTGAAGTGAAACTGTATTTTTGATACTTAACAGTGGCAAAAGAGTTATGCTAATCAAGCAACAAATAGCACAAAGAGTAAGAAGATTTTTTTTCTGCTACTTTATGATCTATAAAAAAATTTTACATGTGTGATGTGATGTTTATCTTTTCTAATAATCCATACTAAGAAAAAACTGCATCATCCTGTTCTATCAGATGCAGAAAAACTAAACAAAAATAGAAAGTGTATTAGAACAAGCAATAACTGAACAATTAAGGAAGGACAGCTGATGATAGATGTAGAGGCAAAAATCAGCAAGTGAAGATTAAAAATCATCTTGTATATCGTGGCATGTTTTTACAAAGCAACCCAGAGCATTTCTTTTCCTCCAGCACAGTTTCTCAGAACCTTTTTATTTTACCCTGGCCTTTACTTCTGTTCATTTCTGTCAAATCTGGGTTGTTTATGAAAATGACTCTGCAGAAGTTCAGAAGGTTCTCATCCCTCAGGAGTACTGCTGCTTCAGCATCAATGATTTGAGGAGAGCCAAATTGTTTAGCTGTACAATGTTTCTATTCTTATTTCGAGTTTATGTGAGTGGAATCTGCCAGCTTTATCCACTGCTACGCATCTCTGCAAAGAACAAGGTAAACTATTGAGACCTTCAGTTGTTCCTTGGCTTTCCAAGATGTGAAGTTATTTGAAAATTATCCCTGTGGATTCATAGAACTCAGCTGATAAAGTGGTTTAATACAGAATGTGTTTTCTAACACTTTGATAATTCTGCTTCCTAACAACCTCACAGTGACTTTCTCCTTCTGTTACCATTGACTAAATAGAGCCTCAATTGGAAAAGGTATCAGATTATTTCAGAGGTTTAATCAAGAGGGAAACCAAGGAAGAAAGAGAGAAGATGTTGCAGCAACAAAAAGAAGATAGGATTTTCAGCAATAATAAGTCTGAATTCTCTTCCAGCAACTACACTATATGACACATGTACAGTCTCGCCTTATGGACACTGTAATAAACGGTGTGGTGTGATCTGGAGAGAGTCAATGTTAACTTTGAAACCTAAAAATGTAGGGGGTTCTGGTTGTCTTTATTTCTGTCTCAAAACTCCATCAGCCTTTTTGAGGGTTTTAATTCATTTATAAATCTACTCCAAGGTTTGCTGACTTTCTGTTTCACACTTTGAAATGCTGTCATGTTCAAAATGAGCATTGTGCAAAAGCCATAGACCTTGTAAAAGGAGGTGGGTGAAGCTGGTAGGAGAGTCTCATTATCAACATTGTAAAAAAGATCTGTACCAACAATGGCCACTCAAGAAGAAGAAATGACTCTGAAAGCACCATAAAAAGCCAAATTGCAGTTTGTAAAAAAGGGACCAGGACTTTAATTTCTGGAGATCTGTCCTGTGGTGTGGTGAAACTAAAACTGAAGTGCTTTGCCACAATGACCATCACTACATTTTGAATAAAAAGGGTGAAACTTCCAAGACTGAGAACAATATCCAAACTGTGAAGCATGAAGATGACAGCATCATTTTATCTGGGTATTTTAGTGGTTAAT